AAAAAAAAAAAAAAATCATGCAATTTCATAATTTTTAGCATCTTTCAATCTTTTTTTTTGTATATCCTTTTATTGGTACATTTTAGGTGTACAATATAATGACATTCATCATTGGAGATATGCACCTTTATATACTCTCTTGGTTCTTATTTTGCATCTTTCAGTCTTAAAAATCTTCTGGTTAGAGCTAGACACGATGGCACACACCTGTAAAATGTTCTTACGTGTCAGCTGCTGCTTATTCATACCCTTATCTCTCTTGATTCTCCAGCATAGCTCTCACTGCTCCCAGAGCTATCCTGTGTTATCAGCCTGTATAGGATAACATATTTTCCGGGACTATTGGGTAATAAATTGTTTTGAGTAATTAAATTCTTGGCTAATGGTTTTCCTCAGAATTATATGTAGATTATTTTCAAAGAATTAGAATATAATAAACTAAAAACATCCTAGATATTTCTTAATACATCTTTCAAGATAATTCAGATGTCTCCAAAGCGCATCATAACTCACAGGTGAGCAGCGTGCTGTATACAGGGTAGCATCTGACAGATCTCTCAACAGATTTCAGTGTTGTCCTCTTCATAGCTCGGGAAGTAGTTGGTCTTCAGTCTGGCTAACACAGAACTGGTGTTTCTGGTAGGGCCCTCAATCTGTCTTTCTGCCCCCACATTGTCTACATGCATAACACAGCCTTACAGACAGCACGTCTCACTCCGTGCAGTGCTTGCCGAAGTTGAGAAGACGTTCTTCAGTTACAGTGCAGATAAATAAATGTACTCCCTTCTTTGAGACTCCTTGGGGTTCAGTATTGGACATCTGAATATCTGAGCTTTTTTGACATGCAGATTTTAAAGTGTGAAGTGTGAATTAAATCATTTCAGCAGATTAGCCACTGAAAGGAACTTAACTGTGTTCTTATATGCAGCGAGCACTCCCTCAGTTCCCCTCCCCTCCACTTCCTGCTCTCGCTCCTCTCCCTCCCCTTTCCTTCTCCCTCTCCCTCAGCTTCCTTTGTCCCCTCCCCTGCCCCTGTCCTTTCGCATTTGGAAAATGTGAAAAAATATAAAGACAGTTATGCATGTAACATTTTAACAGCAGTCGGGCTGATGTTGCATGCTGTTTTATGTCATTTTTAGTGTTTTATCATGAACATTTACATGGTCTTGTTTTTTTCAAAAATATTACTTTTGGAAGCTTCATGAAAGTTTATCATGAGCATGTGTACAGTTCATGCAATCGCTTTTTTTTTTTTTTTTT